ATATTTACTGTGCTAACTCATTTTTTACAAATAATCACTTTTATTTGCAGATAATTAGCCTTGCAATGGTCTCTAAAAAAAAAATGAGATAATAATAATTAAAATTATCAACATGGATCAACTGCCATTAATTCGAGTATTACAGTGTACACACTGCTACCGACTGACCTTCCTATACCAAACCGACCGACCGACCATCATTGGTGACGAACCTGGCTCACACACCATCAGCCGCCAGGCTGAGCGACGAGCATGTTTTTGGTTCTGTTCTGCGTGTTTAGAATTTACCAAAAAGGATAGAGTAGCTGATGATGGGTATGTGTGTGTCGATGTGGATGTGGATGTATATTGCAACAGCCCGCCGTACACAATAATAACCCGGACAACAATAACACGCTACATTATCTGTTCTGTACATTCCGGGTGTTGTGCGGTGGTATGTGGTTTGGTGGCGTTGAATCCTCCATGTGTTGCGCTGGATCATCCAAAGGTCGGTCGGTTGGTGGTGAAGGTGGTGGAAAAAATCGGCCTATAATCGATGGTAGCGATGAATAGACTGTTGCACTTTGATGTACCGTCGAATGGGGCTACTTTTCATTCGGTTTCTAATTTACTTAACAAAATTACATATCTCTGTAGCCACGTTGTGTAAGTCAATTGGAATGACTTCAAATGCTGATACAAAAATCAGATCGTTCCAAGTGGCCGGCTGGTTAGTATTGTCATAAAGCCGATAACATGAAAATGTTATCAGGTCCGTGGTCCTCAAAGCTTCGAAAGACCAAGATTTCGTTTGTTTCTTTTCTCTTCGACATCTTGTTCAATGTAATGCATATTAAAAGTTTTATTAAGTAGATTATAGTAGTCCTTTCCCGCCCAGAGGGTTTTGGCAATGTTCAATGTTTTAAATCAGTATCTCTGGAGTGTTTTGAGATATTGGTCTGGATTTTCTTCTGATAATAGAAGAACTAGTCTGTACTTTGAACTAGTCTGCAATTTCTGAAAGGTATAGGTCTCAATTTCAAAAAGGCATTATTCTCGTTAGGCGTTTCAAAACTTCCCTATGTTTGGTTCGATGATTTTTCTCTAAGTCTAAGATCTTGAAAATGAAAGAATTGATCTAGGTTCGAGATTTTAAAATCACCTTCACCATGTGTATTGGTATTTCAAAAGGCAATATTTATTCCTACAAATTGGTCTCAGACGTCATTTCGATGAGACAACACGTTTTCGATTTATTGAAAAAATTAAATCAATGCCATTTTGAAAAATGAGGCGTTAGTCAAAATGGCCGAATTCCAGTACAATTTTGAAATTTCCCATAGCGAACAATTTTGCAAAGTTTCATGAGAATCGCTGAGGGAATTTTTCTTTAAGTTTAAGCTCTGAAAATGAAATATGTAATTGATCTATTTTCAGATCTTACAAAACCCCGTGTGTTTTCTTTCTCTGAAAAGCACATCTATTTTCCAAAAAAAATTGTTGCAGACGTCATTTCGATTAGAAAACACGTTTTCGTGCTATGATTTATTGAAACAAACATCAAAGTAGAAATGGCCGATTTCTAGTAAAAATTTGAAATTACCCATAGCGAACAATTATGCAAAGTTTCATGGAAATCGCACAGGGTAAAGTCTTATTGAATCGACAGTAAACTGACGCAGCGAAGAGGAAGGGGGTTCAGGGTTCAACTTTTACCATTTTCTTCTGACTTCTTTCAGGAGTTGCTTTTTACTACCTCCGAAAGTTTCATCCAATTCCCATTAAATGATACTTACGACATCCCACGGAAGTTTTTTCCGCCTTTTCCTGGAAGTTTATCTAACTTCCCTCGAATATGTCCTCCCACTATTCCCGGATTTTTATCTTGACTGATCCCATAATTTTCCCCAGATTATTCTTTCAAATTTCCGCGGAAGCTAGTTCCAGTTTTATTAGGATGTTTCGCAAGACTTTGAATTTCATCTAACTTCCCTTACAATTATCCTGAAAGATTGTTCCAGCTATCCCCGGAAGTGTTTCAGCCTGCCTTCGTCTGAAATTAGCTGCGTCTTTCAGACTTGACGATTTCTTCGAGAAACGCATTCCTACTTACCCCAGAAGTTTTCTGACTTGCTCCGGAAGTGTCTGCAGACTGCCTCTGGAAGTTTCTCTAAACTTTTTCTGAAAGTTTCTTCCGACTTGCTCGGAAAGCTGACAATACCAAGAGAGTCTGGAGAATTTAAAGTATTTTTGGAGGCAATCTAAAGGAATTCTGAAAAGAATTTAAGGTGATTTCTTGCAGAATCCAAAATTTTCCGCAATGGTGGCTAAATTCCTTCTGGAGCAAAACATTTCGGCCACTGTTGCGATTTCACTCTTGATCAATCAGAAATAAGATTTCCACAGCGATTTACCTTAAGCAAGTGTGTTTTATTTTTGTTGAGTTGTTGATTGGCTGGAGAATATTTAAGGAATGCTGAGATGAATTTCAAGGCGATTTGGAAAAGAATTATGTACATGATAGTTCCAATGAAAAATCTAGGTGATTGTCAACGGACTTCTTTACAAAGTTTCATGGAAATCGCAGAGGGTAAAGTCTGATTGATTCGTCAGTAAACTGACGCAGCGAAGAGGGAGTGAGGGAGTTCAGGGTTCAACTTTTCCCATTTTCTTCTGACTTCTTTTAGGAGTTGCTTCTTACTACCTCCCAAAGTTTCATCCGATTCATATTGAATGCTACTTGCGACATCCCACGGAAGTTTTTTCCAACTTTTCCTGAAAGTTTTTCTGACTTCTCTTGAATATGTCTTCCCACTATTCCCGGATTTTTATTTTGACTGATCTCAGAATTTTCCCTGGATCATTCTTCCAAATTTCCGTGGAAGCTAGTTCCAGTTTTATTAGGATGTTTCGCACGACTTTGAATTTCATCTGACTTCCCTTGAAAATTTCTTCTCATTTCAAAAGGAGGATTCCTGACAATTCTCCTGAAGGTTGTTCCAGCTATCCCCGGAAGTGTTTCTGGTTGTCTTCTTCTGACATTAGCTGGGATTTTTTCCCAGACTTGACGATGTCTTCGGGAAACTCATTCCTACTTACCCGGAAGTTCTCTGACTTGCTCCGAAAGTGTCTGCAGACTGCCTCTGGAAGTTTCTGAAAGTTTCTTCCGCCTTACTCGGAAAACTGACAATACCAAGAGAGTCTGGAGAATTTAAAGTATTTTTGGAGGCAATCTAAAGGAATTCTAAAAAAGCATTTAAGGTGATTTCTTACAGAATCGTAAAATAGCTGGCCATGGTGGCTAAATCTGGAGCAAAACATTTCGGACACTGTTGCGATTTCACTCTTGAAATTAGTAGGATCAATCAGAAATAAGATTTCCATAGCGATTTATCTTAAGCAAGTGTTGATTGGCTGGAGAATATTTAAGGAATGCTGAGATGAATTTAAAAGCGATTTGGAAATGAATGCTGTACATGATAGTTTCCATTAAAAATCTAGGTGATTTTCAAGACTATACTAAGGGACTTCTTAGGAATATTTCAAGAGAATCATGCAGCGACATTTAAGCATTTTCTATTAAAATTATAGTGTCATCTTCAAGAGAATCACGGAAAAGAAATATTGGTTAATATTTTGATGAAATTCAAAAGGAATTTTATGCCATTAGTCCAAGATTCTTTGACTTGAGAATTGTTGCTGTTGTTGTTTCTGTGTTATAGCTGAAAGCCGCCTAACTTGGGAGTTATTTGTCTAAGATAACTCATCTTTCTAGTATAATTATGATCAGTAGGGTGCGTCAACTTTACGTCAGTAGAGAGTTGTAATCCGCCATACAATCTTGACCCACCCTAAAGATCCGTTCATTAGATCTAGATGGCAGGAAGGATTTAAAATGCTTACAAAAGTCACTCTATTGGACGGTTCGCATTTACGTGCGAGGTGTTGTACTATTCTATATTGGAAAGCAACAGGAACCCACCACCAAACACCGACTAGCGAAGAGCAACAGCTTTGCCCTTTGGTACCTTCCGTACCGCCGATTCCACTTCCGTTTCGTTTCCATCCATGCAGCAGTAGCAGAAGCACAGCAACAATGTGTGTTGTTGTTAGAGGATATCAATATTTATTTTTCGACAGTGTTTAATTTCGATTCTCGCTCTCGGTTCACCAGCGTCGTAGTGTTTAGGAAAGGACGGACATAGGAAAGAGGGCGGAAGAGTGATGACGATTGTGAACAAAGGTGCCTCTAGTATGGCACCCCCTCAAAGTAGTAGATTCAACCGGTGGCAGATCAATTTTGTGTACACATTTTTCAATCCCGGATTGGCAGCGCTGAGTAGCAATGAGAGCCTCTCGTTCGACGAAAGTTTCATATTTTTCCCGAGTTTTTAACATTATTATTTTTTTTGCCGTTTTTTGGGGTCGCTTACTGATCGTTTTTCTCCGGCTGGCAGGCAGTCCGACAGCAGCAGTAGCAGCGATTCCAGTTGTACAGGTGGTACTATGCAATTATTAACATATTTATGGTTTCACATTGGCGACGGACGACGACGACGACGACGATGATGATGATGATGGTGCGGTGATGTTGTTATTGTTGATTGGGACCGGTCCTTCAGCCAATGTGCTCCGAAAAATCACTCCTCCACTCCACTTTGTCCGTCCACCCTATACGAGTTCGAAGCACGGCGAGCGAGCTGCTGCAACCTTTTGGGTCGGTACCCTTCGAAAAGGATGGCTGTATTTGGGTTCTTTTTTTTTTTAGTCTTCGACCGATGCTGGCAGTGCGTATCGACGGCGAGTGAGCAGATGGCTTTTTGGAGGCTTTCCACCAATCGTAGAGACAGAGAATTGATTTTTTAAATCGCCTTGATGATCAGGATGAATATGCGTGAGTGTGTGTATGTGTGTGTTTGTATGTATCGGGATATGCAAAAGGTGTTTCTTGTGATATTTTCGAAATGATTTTAATTTCTTTCTCCTTGTCCTTTTTCTCCCTCTATATTCATTTCCAGAAAAAGCAGGCTATCAGTCTCCATATGGCGGCATGGACAATGGCGTGGTAAGTTTTGTTTTTACTCTTTTTACAACTCTTGTCGTTCCCCGTTTTTTTTTTCATTCGTTCAAGAAACTGTTTATTAGTGGAGCCCTTTTTGGAGCTGGGATCCTGCAACTTTGCAACTGCTGCTCTGTCGTTGTGCAGGGCGTGCAATCAACTTTGTAGGTTAAGTATAGGTTCGCGCAATGTAGAAGGCAGGGAACCTGGAAATGATGATTTTCCTGCGATAATGGGACTAGTAAAGAAGGGATAGAGAGAGAGAGAGGGAATGACGGAGTTGGGTGGTTGCTATCCCTCTTTTTTCGCGCTGAACGAGGCCCAATTGTACTCCGAAAATTTCTGCTGAGAATCCAGGAGGAATGCAGCGCCGGGTGCATTGAACCTGTGCATGGCTGGCGTTTATGTGGGAGATTTCGGTTTTATTTCTTTTTAACGCATGTTTTTTTATGTGCTGCAGGAGTTCTCAGTTCACGGCGAAGGACAGGAAATCAATTTGTTAGTTCCAGGTCATAAAAATATTAAAATTTATTTCGCTGATTTGAGGAATTTGCTCGAGTTTTTTTATACCACAATTAAAAAAAAATCACCATTAAATTGCTTGTCTTATAGCGGGTTTGACCATAATGACAAATTACAACGGCTGCAACGATTTGGAGTATCGCACTTTGAGAACTGGAAAATTAATAGTCCACCCTCCTAAGATCTTCGTACTATGAAACATGTTGCGAAGAGATTTTTGCTCATCCAACATTTGCGTTGAAGATTATTCCAACTGGATCCATCTCCTCTAGATTTTGCTAGAAAAAATCGCTGTCCTGTTACAGCAGTTAAGTTCTGATCTTAATTATTTTGTAATCATTAAATTTTATCTATTGTTCGAAGTCTCAGAATTTCCAAAGCTATTAATCTAATCCTGAATCTTGAAATTCTGTCACTGGGGCCTTAACATTTTTGCGATGTCTGAATTACCTATGTAGATTAGTGGTTGTCAAACTTTCGTTGATTGCGACCCACTTTGAAAAATTCCATTAACTTGTTAACGACCAATATTGAAGACCGATATTGTAAAGCCAAAAACTCCAAAATGGTTTGGAAATATTGTAGGCGTACCATCCACCAACTGCATAATTTACTGAATCCCGCAAAACAGTTTTTAAAACATTGAAATAGTTTGAAAAATGTCAGAAAAGCTGGAATAGCAACGACAGAATTGGAGTTAAAAAGTGACCAGAAAAAGGCTTGAATGGCCACAAAATGATTAAATACTATCACAAATAATGTATAGCTGAACCAAAGCTGGTAAAATCACGACCGTCATGTGACAATGATAAAACAGGTCCTCTCACTATCACGAGACGAAACTAACTATCATTAGTTTTCTTGTCATTTTCCAATGATCAAGCACTAATGAGAATAATTCTATTGCGGTTTATGATTTTCTTGGTAGAAGTAACTCTAAAAGCAATAAATGAGCTAGTAATTACGATGATCACAACACTGTCACGTTTAGTCATGAGAAAAGATTCGATGATATTTTGAAGAAAATCTCTATCATTGTTTTCTCATCCGATGATAGATCGCGTGAGATCTTTCATTGAAAATGACATTTGCCAGCCCTGAGCTGAACACCTCAAAACGATGATATGCTTAAAATACCTCTGGACTATCTTGCAGCACTAAAATGATTTAAAAAACGTCACAATTATCTAAAATCTTCAAAAATGGCCATTTAAATGTCTAACAGGCCATAGAAACAACTACTTTAAAACCGCAAAATGGCCTTAAAACGTTGAAATGGCCTAGAAATACTATACATGGCTTTTGATCACTCCAAACACGATGTAAAATGTGTAACGGCTAACTTGCAATGTTTGAAAAATAAAAGCACAGCCATTTATTGATGAATTTCAAATATGTTGGTGCCATTTAAAGATTCACTTTGTATCAATAGATTAAAAATCTATCCATAAATTTCTGTGCAATGATTTTTAAAACATTGCCAATTTTCCGTTACACATTTTACCGGATGCATGGTGTTTAGAGTGTTAAACATGGTCTATATATATACTAGCCAAATCGACCTGATCCCCAATGCAGCCTGAAAACCCTCATAATAATCTAAAAACTAATGGCCTAAAATATAAAAAAAAAGCTTAAAAATTTCCCAAATAATCAGTGGAATGATCTGAATACACTGGAGTCGCTTTTACGCGGGTGATACGTCCCGCGTAAAAAAAAACCGCGTAAAAAAAACCGCGTAAAAAAAAACCGCGTAAATTCCGGAATCCGCGTAAAAAAAAACCGCGTAAATTCCGAAATCCGCGTAAAAAAAACCGAGTGAAAAAAGACCGTGTAAGAAAAAACCGCGTAAAAAGCGATATACCGCGTAAATTCTGAAATCCGCGTAAAAAAAAACCAAAATCCGCGTAAAAAAAAACCGCGTAAATTCCGGAATCCGCGTAAAAAAAAACCGCGTAAATTCCGAAATCCGCGTAAAAAAAAACCGCGTAAAAAAAAACCGTGTAAAAAAAATCCGCGTAAAAAGCGACTCCAGTGTACATCCTTAATGTCCTGAAATTGAATGATAAAATAGCCCTAGGAACGCCAAAAACAATTTGTAAATGCCAAAGTAGTCTATAAAACGTTCAAATTGCATTGAAATTCTTGTATAATTTGAAAACGCGAAAATATTCATGGTTGTAAGAAATTCGGAAATGCTTTCTATAAATTTGAAATTGTCAGTTAGGGCTTAATAATTCGGCATTGAAGTTGTTTTTAACAGCCATAAAATAAAAACCAATAGCGAATGAAGGTCAATTTTATTATATTAACATTTGAAATCTCGAAAGAGATAGTTTTATCTGAAGTTTTTAATTGAATTTTTTGGTTTAAAATATCGACTTTTTAATTATTTGAGATAAATCAACCTAATGTGCGACAAAGTTGTAGAACTATTTATTTGAAGCAACTTTGCTGAAGAATGAAATTTTCCATCTCTTTCGGTTCACGTCTTTTACTGATTTTATGGTTGCTTGAAATCGAAAACGAATGAAATTTTAAATCCGACCTGATATTTGTAGACACTTTAAAACAAAAATGCTGAATCCCCCGGAATTAAACCTAATAATACCGTTAGAGATTTACGTTCAGTAACAAAATTCATCTTAAGTTCTGGGGCTTGAACGGTTTTTTTTAGGTATTGGAACATAGATATTTTTTAACAGCTAAGATATTTTTTTCGAAATCCTAGCCTTAAGCTTAGTGAAATTTTCTGCTATCTGGAACAAAGATAAACATTCAAAATGTCAGAACATTGAACATTTTTCAAAATCCCGCTTCATAAATAAATTTGATGAGAACTTTTCCAAAGGAATTCGGAGGAGAAGCTCTGGGAAGAATTGTGAGGAAAATTGCTAGTGAAATTTAAAGAATTTGTGGTTCTATCTCCCGTCCATTTTAGATTTCCGGGCAAACGGGAAGCAGCAAATGCCTCTGTCTTACTGGAAATTTCCGGGAATCGGGAAATATTCTTGTTAAGAGACCAGAAAAGGATAAAGTTGATTTATTGACAGTTACTCTTAAGATTTTTTTTTTTTATTTCTGTAGAACGATTTATGAAGTATGGCTTAACGACTTAATTTTAATATTTTTGCTTCCATCGAGCTGTCTTTAATTTTTCTTCCGACTTCTTTCGTAATTTTTAGTTAGGATCCAGAAAAATTTTCCAAATTTTTCCGGATTTTTTTTATATTTTATTTAGGAGATTTTTAGCCACAGGCTAGTTCATCTCCGAAAATTCTCCCAGAAGTCTCTTCCAACTATTCTTGAAATTTTCATCTGATTTCATCGAAAGCTTCTTCCAGAAGTCCTTCTAGCTTCCACGATAACTTCTTTTGACTTCCACTTCCGCTAAAAAGTTCATACAACTTATTCAGCAAGTTTTTTCTCTGGTTCTTTCATTAGAAGTTTCTATTAAATCATTTTAAATAACCTCAGAATTTTGTTTGACATCACCGACAGTTTCTTCCGACTTCCCGTAGATAGTCTTTTTTAGCTTCGCATCATAATTTTCTCGAAAGTTTTCTAGCTTCCCTCGGAAATGACTTCTGCCTTTTTCTGGAACATAGAAGATCTTCAGATTCCCCTGGAAGTTAATCCAAACTTTCTCCTTAGAAGTTTATTTTGTCTCCTCTGGGAAATATCTTGTTACGTTCACCGAACAATACTTCTATATTTATTTCCCGGGAAATTGGAACAGATTTCCGGGAATCGGGAAACGTGAGTTTTGGTAAATTTCCCATGAATTATTTCCCAGGATGTTCCGGGTAGGGAACACTATTTTCAATAAGTTCAGAATAATCTTAAATTTCAGGTGAAAGCTAAGGAGCATTCCAATGTAGTTCGGAGTAGAATTCCAAGGGAACCCTCATTTTCATCCAAAGAAAAATTTGCAGCGAAATCTGGAGGAATTTCGAATAGAATTCTGATGATAATTGCATGATAATTCTGATGAAAATTCTAAGAAATTTCTGAGCGTGTCGAAAGGGAATTCAATGTAAAATTCCATATGAATTTTCTGAGAATACAATAAAATATGAGAATAATTGCAGGAAAACTTCCAAGAAATTATGAAGAGAAAAAAAATGAGTTCCGCCTATAATTAAGATAATTTTGAAAATACTTATTGGGATTTGAGGAGAATTTCAAGTTAATTCTAAGGAAAATTCCAAATGTGAAGTTGTGAATAGAATTCATAAGCAAGTAGGAGAATTTCAAGCGAATTCTAAAAAGATTTCAAAGAAAATTCTGCGGATCATTCCAATGGAATTATTTAGGAGTGTTCTGATGATGATGATGATGATTGAGACTATCACTATGTAGCAAGGCGCCTGCACATAGCAATGGGCAATCCAATCAGGACGACTTGATCAAGTCCCACTGACAAATCATATTCAGCTTGGCGCTGTATGGAGGGGTGGCCCCGTAAGCAGAAACGCCCACGC